GGATGGATGGATGGATGGAGGTGACGTGAGTGACGGATGCGGCGCGTGGTGGGAGGTGGAGGGCCGGATCGATGGCGGAATGGGGCGTGAGCGTACGGCAAAGCGAGAACGGGTTTGTATTCGCGTGTGTCTAGCCCTCTCTCGCGGCTGGAAATTTGGCTGGTTGGCTGCATGTGCGTGGTGCGGTGCACACACTTTCTCGTTGCATGCACGCGCGTGCATGCGCGGTGCGTGCATCGCTACCTATATTTCATATCTGTGGTTGTCTTTCTGCGCGTGCGGCTGGACATTTTCAATTGAAAGTGTATTGGTACGCACGAACTTGCCTGTGTGTATATGCAACTGGGCGTGTGTGTAGCCTATATAGAGACACATGTGGCTTTTTGCATGGACACGCGTCGGATCGATGAATGAATGGTCAAGTTCGAGACAAACGCTTACTATTCTCCAGTCTGTTCACACGCACATGAATCACTTCACAGAAATCCATGTGATGGTGCAGACGCACACCCACCATCTCTCGTTCTCTCTCTCATGAGTGACGATCGTCAGTCGCCGACGTGCCTTTTGGGAGCCCCGGTGAGTGTTTCGGGGGAGTTCACACATGTGTGTGGCCAAGGCAAAAGCACCACATTAATTGCGGTCGGGCAGGACACCGCATCGCTTTGAAGGCAAAACCACACATGCAATGCATTCATGCATGCTAGTGTGGAGCAAGCGAAAGAAGAAGACTGTGTGGCAATGAATGACGGAATGAAGAGTCAAGCGAGGGGCGAGATAAAAGCGTACATGCGGAAGGGAGCGGTAGATCAGTGAAAGAAAGGGGCAGATGGAGACGAGAAGGTGTGTGCGCCCCTTACGCATGGAATGTAAAAATACATTGTCAGGTACGTGTACAATGAGGCTAGAGACGGAGACACCCATACATAGACCCCCTATCCCCCGTTCTATCCCCCCCTCGTGTTGAGGGTGGGACACTGAATTACCTTCTCTTCTCTGGAAGTCCTGTCGCCGGCATGCAGGCGTGGAAAGGCACCAGGCGAAAATAAACGAGTGGGTCGTATGTATTCATGCATGCATGCATGCATAGTGCATGTGTGATGTGCGGTGCTGTGTGCACGCACACGTCTGTCGAATTTCGCGTCGAAAGTCAGTGTGCATGCCCTACCCCCCTACTAACCTACCTCCGTCACAGACTCTTGTGGGCATTCAATGGGTCCGAAACCGCGGAGAGTCAGCTGAAAACAGGAAAGGAAGCGAAGCATGCATGCAGTCTGCACACCTATGTACCTCCCCCCGGCGCACACAGCTCACGCCGACGAACATAAGACATCCGTAGTAATCTCAGGCATGGCCAAATCGCACAGACTGAGAGGCACACATGGACAGCAATAGCAAGCGTCGCCCTGCTCTCCTCCCTCTCAAGCACGGCCAGCAGCCGCATGTCACGATACGTCCTAGGAATGATGCGTGCATTCATGCTTCGCACACCGAGCCACTGCTCCCTCGCTGCCCACACAGCACAACACAGACCAAAGGACCGAAAAAACACCGGGATGCATACATGATGTCGGCCCTCACACGTGTGACACTCATACAGGCCAGCCACAGCGCCACACCGCAACCGCTTACTCTCCCATGCTCATGCAAAATGAGACATATCAGTCAGTGCCTTACACTCACCTCAGCTCTGTCACCTTTCGGTCAGCCAGTCGCCCCGCCCTGTCTGAGGCATTTCTGCAGGACTAATGAAAATTATTAAGGGGCACTGTCCAATGGGAAGTCAGTGTAGCTATAGGAAATCAGTATTACTGCCACCTAACAAGAAGTTGCCTGCATTCCAAGAAAAGAGTGCGTCTCTGGCGGCGCGGCCCTTCTTGTCGACAAAGCGGGCGAGGACGGACAAAGGGGCATTGCCGTCTCTCAGGTTGGGCGTATACACCAGTCGGGTCAGCTGCAGGCCCTCGTTGAAATAGATCAAAAACCTGGAGACACACAAAGATCTCTGCCGGTGTGCTGTGCGGGTCACTCGCATAACACACATACCCGGCTCCGGGAAATGCATTGATGGCATCCAGCACACCAGAAACTGTACGCAAGATACAACACAGGGAAGTAAAGCATGGATATGCGCCCACCAGTCCCTCTCACGCCTTCTTGATTTACTCTGCATTGCCGCAGCTCTGGCGTTGAAGATCTCATCAGGTCCGAATTGTCCATTGTCCGTATTGAGGAGCACCCAGAAGGTGGTGTCGGGGCGGATGGCAGCGAGGTCGGTCTTGTTGCCCGTGAAGTCTTCAACGCCGTTCGGGCCGAATAGTTGAATAGCAAGGAAAATGAGTGCGTCCACGTTGAAGTCACCGCCACTACATACGTAACAAGAGGGGGAAGGGGGAGAGGGATACACGCAGGCATGCACACACAGGTCAGTCATCGTTGCCTTTTTATGTTTACTCAAGGAAGATTGTGTCGTCTGTGAAGGAAAAATCAAAAATCGAATCTTCCTGCAGACAACAAAGGCGCCGCACCCAGTGCAGGCGTACGCTCCCTCTCTCTCTCTCTTTGTCTCGCCTACCAGCGCTCCATCGTCGATGTCGACCCCAGAGTAAAAGATTTGGTCTTTGCCGCCTCTTGTCTCAATGAAGTCCTTGTTGGCACCGGGGACAAACTTATCATCACTGAGGCACACACAGACGCACAGCACAGAGAGGGTGAGAGAACGAGAACCGTGCGTGCGTGCGTGCGTTGTATCATGGTGGTTGGTCGAGCACATCGCATACTCGTCTTGGCCGAGAAAGATGTCCGAGAGGGGTGTTCCCGGGGTGGCGCCGAACACCGCCAAGTTAATTACTACATCACCTACGAGAGCCACACACAGAGCCGACTGCGCAGGGAGGAGCCAGCCCATGCGGGGATCCACGTACCGAACACGAAGTTGTCTTTGACGTATTTCTCAGCGTCGGCGATTGCCGCCTGGATGTTCTCTGCATTCTCGTTGCACCTCCCGGCCACGATTGCCGCATCGGCACCCTCAGAACATGTGGAGACGTCTCTGCACACGCAAACAGACATAGCAGAACAGACAAGACACGACAGACCGTCAGCCACTGAGGCTGCAAGGCGATGTCTGTGATGCATGACCTCGCGAGCACCTTGAGGGGGGTCGTGTCGCTCGCCAAATCTTCCGAGAAGACGAGACCTTCAACCAGAGACCGACCGTCATGTCATGCATGTGTGCACTTTCGCCGACGGACGTCTATCACTTACGATTGAGATTCAGGCCCCCTGTGAAATCGAGGCTGTCCTTCGTCTTGACATTAGTGTACAGGAACACGCCCCGGGCATCCATCCCTCGAACCCTGATTGTTTGCTATCTGCATGTCACACAACAGGAGAAGAGACAGCCACCGGATGACTGTTGAGCGGCCGACCCAACCACGGCCGTCTTTGTAATGTGATACCCACCAAATCGGCGGCGATTCCCGCATTGAACTGCACGCAGCACAGCAGCACACACGGAGAAGTTTCTCTGTGTCTTTCACCAGCATTGAGTGTCACGGTGGATGGTGTGTGGGGCAGAGAGGCCAATGATTTTCGGCCGCCTAGTTGAGAAGCTGCGCACCAAGGCTGTGTGGGCAGACAAGTCGTAGAGTCAGGTGATGGGATGGGTGCGTGCCCGTTTGTCTGTTGCATTGGCGCGTAGTGCGAGTTTGCGTGTGCGTGGTGGGCGGCGTCACTAGAAGATGCGCTAGGCGGGCGCCGAGGATGGTGCTGGCATGTTTGTCGCGCGATTGACAGTCGATCGATCGACACAATTCATTTCATGAGAGACCATCAGAGTCTGCCTGCCATTGCGCTATGTGTCAATGCATCTCCCCCTCGTCGAGGGGCAGGGGGTGGTCAGGCAGCCTGGAGGGGTGGATAGCTTGATGGATGACTGTCATTGGCTGCACCGCACTACTAACAGTCGCATTATCTTTCTGTTTTTCATCCAGCAACTGGCGGTAGCACAAAGTCCAATTGCATCTCATCTGAGATAAATGGCCGAGGAAGCGCAGTCAGCTCTAGGCCTCGTTTTCCAAAGTGCAGGAGAACATCACTCAGCTGCCATCTGGATTAATTCGAGGCAACTCTTCATGTAATTAGGCTTTCCCTTCTCCAAACTAGCCAGCAGACTCACAGAGAATCGGCCTCAAGACCATTCATTGAGAA